CTGTGTACTTGTGTGTACCTGTGTACTTTCTGTACCAGGTATTTTGGGTGTACATGTGTACTCTGGGTGTACCTGTGTACTCTGGGTGTACTGTACTTTGGGTGTACCTGTGTACTTGGGTGTACATGTGTATTTCTGTGTACCTGTACTTTGGGTGTACCTGTGTACTTTTGGGTGTACCTGTACTTTGGGTGTACCTGTGTACTTGGGTGTACCTGTGTATTTGGGTGTACTCTGGTATTTCTGGGTGTACCTGTGTACTTCTGGGTGTACCTGGTACCTTGGGTGTACCTGTACTCTGGAGTGTACTCTGGGTGTACCTGTGTACTTGGGTGTACCTGTGTACTTCTGATGTGTATTTGGGTGTACCTGTGTACTTTTGGGTGTACCTGTGTACTTTGGGTGTACCTGTGTACTTTTGGGTACCTATGTGTACTTGGGTGTACCTGTGTATTTGGGTACCTGTGTATTTCTGGGTGTACCTGTACTTGGGTGTACCTGTACTTGGGTGTACCTGTACTTGGTGTGTACCTCTGGTTGTTGGGTTTTTCTTGTATTTGGATGTTGTAGTTGTTGTTGTACTTGTAGTTTTGGTTGATAGAATAAAGTACATTGATGGTTACAAAATACAGTACATACATGGTTAAAAAATACTGTACCTACAGGGCTAGAAAATACAATACAGTACATGGTGTTAGTGTGGTGTGGTCAAGGCAAGGTTGCATGTTGTATACTCTATCTTACTATTGATTAACTGTTGCATGTTGCTGGGGAGAAGGTGTGTGTGTGTGTGTGTGTGTCACGAATATACACTCACCAGTAGTCTCCTGGCTTGCAATGTTATGCGTTGTGTATGTTAATTTTCTGTCTATTATTAAGAGACTGTGAATATCGGTGTCACTATGATCACTAGAAATGCCCTTTAGAGGTTAAATATCTATACTTCAAATTTTATTTATTTTTATTTTTTATTAATATATTTTTTTTAATTGTTGGGTAAAAATCCTGTTTCTTTCTGTGGGGGTAGGTTAGGTTAGGTTAGGTTAGGTTAGGTTAGGTTAAACATGGTTATCATTAGGTGGTTAAACTGAAGGTGAAATATGCTGTGGCAAACATTAAAATAAGCTTGGAGCTAATCTTCAAGTGAAATAAGCTGGGGCTAAGCTTAGATTAAACAAGCTGTATATTTTCAGTGAAATAAGTTTGGGGGGGCTAATCCTCTGGTGATCTTAGTTAATGCGTTCAATGGTCGTCATAATTCACATTCAGGAGCCGGTACATGCCCAGTACTTCCAACAGTGTGTAACAGAGACGTGACCGATCGCCCAAGCTGCTAACGAGCCGATCAGTGGTGAAGAGGATAAAAGAAAAAAGTAAAAGTAGGCTGTAGTTTTATTTATTAACAATATACACTAAACCCTAAACAAAGAACAGATCTTATTAATTAGGCTACTTTTTTTATTACTTAGTAGATACACAAGACGTCTTAGTAACAGAATAATGGATATTTGTTATGCAGTACAGTATTTGTCCTTTGCATGTAGAGTATTTAGTAAAATTATAATTAAACTCCGGCACTGAATTATTTTTATTGCCAAGGTAAAATCACCAAGTTTATCCCATTTTTGAGCTTCTTCTTCATTTATTTGATTAATTAGGTTTGAGTAAGTTGTTGTAACAGAATGGTGATGTTGGAACTATGGTATCAGATTACTGTGGAATACCCAAAAAATAAGTGTTTTAGTTTTAATGTTTAGTTTAATAAGATTAATACTAAACACACTTATATAAAGTATGTCATCTGATAATGGCTCCGGATCTCTTAAATTTATTAGATGACAGAAATCCATAGGGGGAAAATGGAAGGTTATATTCATATATTGTATATTTTATATTTGTAAAATAAAATGTAATTAAAATCCGACGTTTCCTCGCTGGTCTACGAATGGAATGAATATTATGCAAACAATATTTTAAGAAGCTTGAATATAATACAAATAGGATAATAATAAACTTAGTCTTTTAGGAAGAATAAAGACATAGATAGACCACAGATAGAGGAACATTACTCCACACACTAGACGCCATTTGTCATTTGCTTGAATAAAACCCAAATTTTTCGCCACCATCAAGACCATTGATATTTATATGAATATTTGTATCCTGCATTTAATATTATTTTAATTTAAGGTAAGAAGGTGCAGTAATTACGTAGTTTATAATTATGTTGGCCGTGAAGTAAACCTTTGAGTAGAACACGAGAGAAGTACAGTAATCTGATATATTGAGTCTGATTTTAATACTGTTCTTTCCTGCCAAGTTATTGATTATTGTAGTGGGATTTTATCATATGTACAATTAAATAAAATATATGCAAAAGGAAGATATTGTAAACGATTTATCATAGAATTTAATATCCCTCATCAATCATGTTTTCAGTAACTTTAACAATAAACTTAATCAGAAATATGACTTTCATCCTGAATTCACATTATAACAAGTAAATAATGTACGGTACTTTTTTTTATGATTTCAGTCCTCGGTATTTAAGAAAATTACAGTGGTTACCGAAGTTAACGACATTAGTAAACTTATGATAGTTTAACCGCTTCATTACATCTTCTTACATGTAAGGTTTTAAATTATTTTGGCATCTACCATTGTTAATAGCACCATATTTTTTATATACTCGTGTATTTTTATTTTAAAATTATCCGTTTCTGTTGACAGAATATTGACGTATAACATTCTTAATCACATGAAGATTAGCCCTCCTCCCACCTTATTTTCCCAGTTGATGTAAATACTTTATTGCTTCCCTTGTGGTTATGTTTGTTGGGTGTTAAAGCTTTTAACTTAAGGTAACATTAGATGTGGGGCTAATCTTCAGGTGGTCTGATTCCTGAAGTAACTTATGAACTTATGTGGGAGATCTGTACTGTATGGCGACCTGTGGTGTGATGGTCAGCATGCTCGCCTCACAAATGAGCGGACCTGGGTTCGATCCCCGGGCAGGGTGAAACTATGGGCAAGTTTCTTTATGCCATTTGCCTCTGTCAACCCAGCAGTAATTGGGGAACCTGGATGTTAATCGATTTGCAGATTGTGTTCCTGGGTAATGGTTAGCCACTGCAGTTGGCGAGTTGTACGATCTTCTCGGACTATGCCTTGACACTGGGTTGTGGGGTTCAGGTTGTTTGGTTCACACTCAGGATGGAATGGAGAAAGGAAACTCACAATGTGCTCTCTATATACATGTTGTATTGGATGTACAATGCAGCTTGGTGCTGGGAAGTGGCAGCGTGGTTACAAGCGTGATGTAGAGAGAGCTGGTTGGTGAGGACGCTCAGAGAAGGACCAGCTTGTGGGTCGCCATGCTCGCTGGTGGGAGCGAGGGCCGCCAGGCAGGTGGAGGAGCGAGGACCGCCAGGCAGCGGCGGAGGAGGAGGTGTTGCTGGCTGCGGCTGTAGGTAGAAAGAGGCAGGTCACCACGAGGTCAGGTCTTAAATAGCGGGGGTAGGCGTGGCTATAGTTGACCCCGCCTGTGATGTATGGCGGCGCTGGTTGACCTAGACCACGAGGCATACACTGGGGAATTGGTGGGGTCGGCTACTCGGCAACAAACAGCGTTAGGAGAATTCCACTACAGGGTCATGCAACTTGTTAACTTAGGGTGTGGTTGTTGTGTTGGCGACAGCTTCTACACCTTAAACAAATTCTCGCCGAGGTGGCCCTTTGTCAGCCATCCTCGTTACACGACAGGCAACCATTACTGTGTGGCACGGAGGGTGTAGTCTGTGTGGCTTACTTGCCCAAGTCTTATGTGGTTGTGAGCAATGTCTTTTGTTTATTGTTTTCAGTGTTATTTAGGATCACCTGGAGAGTAGTCATCCACCACAGATTATTTCACCTGAAGATTTATCACCCTAACACAAACCTAGGGTATTACTGTACAGTATTTCACTTGTTTCCACCCAAAGAAATTTGATTTTTTTTTTGTATTGCAATCAATAGTTTAGATAATTCTAAGACATTTCTATGACGTTTCCACCGCAAGGCGTATATATTCCCTGGGAGTACATGGGGACGAAGCTCTCCAGTGAGGAGGTTAGGTTAGTTCATTTGCAAAAAAAAATCAAAGAAAATTACTTGGAATTGCATCCATAAAATTCTCAAAATTCTTTGGGTGGCAACAAGAAAATTTTACCAAACCTAACCTAACTTAATCTAACCTACTGGTATAACCTTGTAATGTAAAGAAAGAAATTTAGATAATGTGTCCAATTGTAAATATGTCTTGATCATGTGGATTAATAGTGTGTATTATTAAATAAATTTTGCATATCTAGCAGTGTCATTTACTGTGTACAGTACAGTATGTGACAAGTTAAAACAGTAGAAAGATATAAGGTGTTGTAAGGTACAATACTCTACTGTGTGAAAAATTGTCCCCATTTTTGGTAACTGCTCAACTTACCCTCCTGGGGAGTGTTTGGAAGTTTACAACTGTATGGTACAATATTATCAGTGCTTTTCACTGGGTGTTTGTGTTTGTATACAAAATCTGGAAGAGGGTCCTGAACATTCCAGTTTTTATGGGTTAAATTGAAGTTAGAATTAGGTTGCAAGCATACAGTAATTTGTTGTACATACTGTATGAAAATAGGAGTTTTTATCTTATACCGTATTTTCACTTTTTTGTTTGTATCATTCTCAGGATGGTGAATGTAATGGATTAGAATGACTATTGGTACATTCATAAAATTTCATGTGAATGATAGCCTTTATGATTAATCTCAATAAAGTAATTTGTCTTTTTTAATTTGTTGTCTTCTCTTCTCTCTACATTTCTGTACTCTACTCTACTGATCTATGATGTTATAAATATTGGTGTTATGGTTATGAATTAGGCTTTTGTATTTTACTTTTTTATATACTGTACAGTATAATGATATTAGCATTACAATAAAATGTTCAGAAATTAATAATAATTTTTATTGCAGTTTCAGGATGGCGAGATTGTGTGGGAGTGGGCGGGTGTGGTAGAGGATCGTGGTGATGGCCATGGGGGAGTACAGCGTAGTGTCACAGGCGGTGGTGCAGCGGGTGTTCTGGGTTGACTGGTTTCACCGCACCCCGCACATCAACCTCACGCTACACCCTGTCAATGACACCTTCAGTCCTCTCACCCATCTACCAAGAGGTCAGTCGATTACTGCCAGTGGATATTTTCAGGAGATTGTATTTTAAGTTTGTTGTAAAGCTAGTTTTTAGGAAGCTTGAAAAATAGGACCGCTGTCCTGACTAATTCTTCCTCTAGTAAATCCTTCTGGTCCTTAACTAAAAACATCTGTAACAACTTCTGCACTCCTTCTTTTCCAACCCGATAACTCTATAGCCAACTCTCCCTCTGACAAAGCCAACCTCTTTGGCACCTTATTCTCCTCTAATTCCACCTAAGACGATTCCCACTCTATCCCTCCTACCCCTGCACCTCCTACTGAACCTATGCACTTTCCTATAATCTCCACTCGCAGGGTTGCCAGTGTGTTATCCAGGTTGGATGTGAGTAAGGCGCATGGACCGGACGGAATACCCCTCGTGTTCTGAGGGAGTGTGCTGAAGCTCTGGCCTCTGTGCTTGCTCGTCTCTTTCGCCTTTGCCTCAAAACCAAACTTTCCTTCTTCTTGGAAGCATGCCTTGGTTCAGCCCATCGAATAAGGGTGACCATTCTAAACCCTCAACTACGCCCCATTGCCCAAACTTCATCCCTCTCTAAGATTTTCGAAACTATCTTGAACTCCCATTTTCTCCGCCACCTGAGCGCCTTTCTCTTTTGTCGGATCACCAGTATGGTTTCTAGGCGAGATCTACTGGTGATCTGCTCTCTATTGCACCCATCTTTGGTCATCCTCTCTTAGGGATTATGGGGAAACTTTTGTCGTGGCTCTCGACATCTCCAAAGCATTTGACAGGGTATGGCACAAGTCTTTACTATCTAAACTTCCCTCTTTGGGTTTCTCTCCCCTACTTTGTTTTCTCATCTCTAGCTTCCTTGAGAACCAATCCATGGCAATTGTTGTCGAGGGATCGATCTCTCTCTCTTTCTCTACCAGTAGTGGTGTCCCACAGGGTTCTGTTCTTTCACCTATTCTCTTCCTTCTTTTTATCAATGATTTTCTTCACACTACAACTAATTCTATCCATTTTTACGCTAATGATTCTACTCTTCACTCTTCTTCACATTTTCCCCTTCCTCCTAACTCTCAAACTAAATCTGTTTCTAGAACTGATATCATTACTTTTATCAATGCGGATCTGTGCAGCATCTCTGAATGGGAAGGTACAAACTTGGTTAAGTTCAATAGTAATAAAACTCGATATTTACCAATTACACTTTGTAAATTAGACGATCTCCCACCAATTACATTCCAGGATGCTATCATCTTCTCAAATTCTGAAATAAATATGTTAGGCCTCACCATTTCCCCAATGTCCTGGAAATCACACATCCTTAATATAGCTAAAGCTGCCTCCCGAAAGTTGGGAATGCTGTACAGATGCCGTAGCAACTTCACTCCTGAGCAGTTGCTCCAAGTATATAAGGGATTCGTTCGTCCTAACCTGGAGTACTGCTTTCATATCTGGGGTGGCTCTTCTTCTGTCCAACTATTAGATAAGGTGGAATCAAAGGCATTTCGTCTTATTAACTCTCCTCCTTTGTTCGACAATTCTCTTCCCTTTCTCTTAGCCCATAATGTTGCTTCCTCTCTCTCTTTTACAGGTACACATGGGCAATGTTCGTTGGTTGGCATCCTGTGTGCGGCCGTGGGCTAGTAACACACGTCTTGCAGGTGCCCACTGTTTCTCTGTGGATGTCGGTCATACGAGAATAACCAGTTATAGTATCTCCTTTCCTCACACAGCCAAACTGTGGAATGCTCTGCTTCTTCTGTGTTACCATATTTATACAATCTGTCTCACTTTAAAAGATGGTTTCGGCATCTTCGTGGTGTATATTAACACAGTACAGTTAACCTTTTTACCAATTTTCAATTTCTTTCTGTTCTTTTTTTTGCCCCAGGACTCGCTGTGGTTGTTTGACCTGTGCCCGGGTGGGCTAATTCCCGTAAAAAAAAAAAAAAAAAATAAATCTCTTTAGCATTCACAACAAAATATAATTTTGATTGCTTGAGCAAGTAGTCTTTGATAACCACAGTTGTTGCAACCTTGCCTTGCCAGTTGGTCTCACCCTGTGGGTTGGTGTTAGGAAGGACATCCAGCCTTCAAACTTTGCTTCAACATGTCTGTTGACAAACAGGTCACCAGAGCTGTGCCCATCCCCTTGTCTCTGCTGCATTTTCAGGGCTGGTGCCCTACTGCGATAATTGAATGGGGAAGGGTACATCCCCTAAAATATTGATACAGTAATGATAAGATACAGTATATGGCTACTGATCCACCACCTTAAAATTTTTGTTTTACAGTACAGGTAATTACCTTATTTGCTGGCATATAGATTTTAGAAGTAAATATTAAAATGATAAAAAGTATTTTAGTGAATACTGTACACAGTTTTTTAATATTTCTCTTATTATAATGGGAATAAACATCAATGAATCAGAAAAGAACAAATATTTGTGTAAATATCAGTACCTGTTCAGTACAGTATACAGGGTGTTTCAGAAATGTGTTTCATAATTCTGGGGGTGTATTCCTGAAACAAACATAAGGAAAAATGACTCCACGACCATAGTGTCAATACCCCATAGTTTCTGAGTTATACGACATGACAGTTAGGGTTGGAATGTGATACGTAGTATAGATGAAATATCCAGTGTTATTAGTACAATTTATTTACAATCATATGCAATCTGATATGGATTTTACAGGAAATGTTCAAAGTTCCAGCCGTCTTCCTGAATGTTACCACTTGCTTTAAATAGGCTCTTATTTTTTTTTTGTCTCTAGACTTCTTCCAGTCCTCCTCAACCCAATATTGTGGTACTGTATAACTCTGAAACTCTGGGGTATTAACACTATGATCATGGAATAGTTTATCCTTATGTACAGTATGTCTCAAATACCTGTAAAAGATACAGTATATGAAATATATTTATGAAACACCCTGTACTGTATAGTAATAACCAGTAAATATTCACAGTTGGTGATGGTTTCCTCAGTAATGTACAGTATGTATATGGCCTCATACAACCAACCATCACACACAGTAAATACTACTCTAGTTATATACTTATGGTCTCATTTGTTGAAGCACAGTAATCCATTTTATGAAACTTCACATATAGAAGGGGCAGAAGAACTGGAAATGTCAATTTCAGTTACAATACAGGAGTGGTATTTCCATTTTTTTATGCTCAAATCTTTGTTGATTGATATATTATACTTACTTACACCCATATTGTATGAGAACCATCTTCTAGTAACAGGTGGTCTCGAGGTTTAATGAGAAGGCCTTCATTTCGTTCATGAAAGCTAAAATATTATGTAAAATTGCCAGTAGATCTTCAGCTCACTGTACCATATTTCAATTTTCAGAGTCTGGGTATTATTGGGTCAGTTCCTGCTGGAGTGTTGATCTTGACATTGCTGGTGTTGTTGCTCTACTTGTTGACACGATGCTGCGACAACCGACCCATAAACCAGGCTCCATAACCTGCCTGAAAGTCATGCTGGTCCTCTTTGCTATATTAACATTGTAAGTTTTTATTTAGATTCAGTATACAGTAATTATTATTTTACTTACAGTAAGTGACATTTAGTTATTATTATAACTTCCTGTAATCATCAAATGACATAGGTAGCCTACAGTAAGTGATATCCACCTGCTCTCATAAGAGGGAACCAAAAAGCTTTTGGGATACAGTTTACTTCCACACTTGATCTGGTACCCACCACTAACACCTACTGGGAATGGTACAAGTGTTTTATTTAAGTACTGTAGTGAATACAGTATACTATTTGTATCCTTTTGGTCTCAAGTGTCCAGGAAGTTAATTGTGAAATACTGTACTGTACCTATCAAACACTGTATGAAGTTCATTTCCATAAATTAGTAGGTTTTAATTTTTGGGTTTTATTTTTTAAGATTTTTTTGTGTAGCATTTTTTTTTCATTCTTTCTTTTTGCTGCATGAGAGTTGAGATCAAGGCTACCCTGGGTTGATTACCAAGGTGGGATATAACTTAGAAAGGCA